TAATATCCTCTTCAATCTCCTTTTTTAGTGTAACATAATTTTCAGCATATAGGTCTTTTATATTCTTAGTTAGGTTGATTCCTAAGTATTTCATTTTTTAAAATGCTATTGTGAAGGGCAAAATTTCTATAATTTCTCTCTCATGGAGTTTTTTGTTTGTGTACAGGAATGCTATTGATTTTTGAGCATTGACTTTATATTCAGCTACATTGCTGAATTTATTACCTCTAGTAGTATTTTAATTCAATTTTTGAGGTCTTCTATATAGAGTATCATGTCATCTGCAAATAGTGATAATTTAACTTCTTCCTTTCCTATCTTTATTCCTTTTATTTCTCTCTATTGTCTGACTGCCCTGGCTTCTGTTTCCAGAGCTATATTGAAGGGGAGTGGTGATAGTGGACATCTTTGTCTTGTTCCTAATTTTAAAGAGAAAGCATTCAGTTTTTGTCTATTTGGTGTAATGTTGGCTGTTGGTTTGTCATCAATGGCCTTTATAAGATTGAGGTAGACACTGTGTATTCCGAGTTTCTGAAGAGTTTTTTTTTTTATCGTGAACAGGTGTTGGACTTTAATAAAAGCTTTTTCTGCATCTGTTGAGATGACTAAGTGGTTTTTGTTTTTGACTCAGTTGATGTGGTGTATTACATTTATTGATTTGGGTGTGTTAAACCATCCCTGCATTCCTGGAATGAATCCCACTTGGGCATGATGTGCAATCTTGTTGATGATTTGCTACATTCTATTTGCCAGTTTTTTATTGAAAATCTTTGCATCAATGTTCATTAGTGATATTGGCCTATAATTCTCCTTTTTTGTTCGGTTCTTTCTCTGGTTTTGGTATGAGAGTAATACTTATCTCCAGGAATGATTTAGGGAGGATTGCTTCCTTTTCAATTTTACTGAAGAGTTTAAGGAGTATTAGCATCAAATCATCTCTAAATTTCTTGTAGAATTCAGCTGTGATTCCTTCAGGACCTGGGCTTTTCTTTGTTGGTAAGGTTTTAATTATGTTTTCAATTTTAATAGTTGATATTGGGTTATTCAGAATTTCTATATCTTCTTGGTTGAGCTTTGGTAGTTCATATGTTTCTAGAAATCTGTCCATTTCCTCTGTGTTTTCCACTCTATGTGAGTAGAGATTTTCAAAGCAGGTATTCTTGGCCTTTTGAATTTCCGTTGGATCTATAGTAATTTCCCCCTTTTCAGTCTTCATTGCGTGAATTTGGGTTTTTCTTTATAAGGTTAGCTACAGGTTTGTCAATTTTGTTTATTGTCTCAAAAAACCAGCTTTTTGATTCATTAATTCTTTGTATTTTTTTTTTTTTTAGTTCCAACTGCATTGATTTCTGCTCTAATCTTTACAATTTCCTCTTCTATGAGCTTTGGGTTTAACTTGCTCTTCTTTTTCTAGAAGCTTGAGATGAAGCATTAGGTTGTTTATTTGTGCTCATTCTGTTTTCTAGATATGATAATTTATTGCTATATATTTCCCTCTTAAGACTGCTTTCATTGCATCCCACAGATTATAGTATGTTATTTCCGCATTTTCATTGAATTTTAGTTATTGCTTTATTTCTTTTTAATTTCATCTGTAGCCCATGGTTGTTCTGGAGGTTGTTATTTAATTTCCATGTATTTATGTAGGTCTTGCCATTTTTTTTGCCATTAATTTCCAATTTCGATGTGGTATGGTCAAATATTATGCATGGGATAATTTCAATAGGTTTGCAGTTACTTAAGAATGTTTTATAGGGTAATTTATGGTCTATTTTGGAGAATGTCCCATGCGTAGCTAAAGAATGTGTATTCTGATGTGGTTGAGTGATGCACTCTTTAAACATCTACCAAGTCCATTTGCTTGCAGGTATGATTCAGTTCTATTATTTCTTTGCTGACTTTGTGTCTAGTTGATCTATCTCTTTGTGACAATGGGCTGTTAAGGTTCCCTGTTATAATTGTGTTTTTGTGTATTTGGTTTTTCATGTCCATTAGTATTTGCTTTATATAGTTCGGTGCTCCCATATTTGGTGCATATATATTTATAATTGTTAGTTCTTCCTCTGAATTTTTCCACTAATGAGTGTGTGGTGACCTTCTTTATCTCTTTTTAATCATTTTAGGTTTGAAATTCACATTGTCTGCAAATAGAATACTTACCCCTGCTTTTTTCTGAGTTCCCATTGAATGGAATACTGTTTTCCATCTTTTGTCTTTTAATCTGAGTTTCCTTTGGGGTCAGATGTGTTTCTTGTATACAGCATATTGTGGGATCATGTTTCTTGATCCATTCTGTCAACCTTTTTCTTGTGATAGATGAATTGCTATTTACATTTATGAATATCACTAATATGTACTGGCTCGACTTTGCCATATTATGTTTCAGTTGTTTACTTTCTGCTTTTCACCCTTGTTTAATTGCTTGTCCTACCTGGTGGTTTCTTTCTGTTGTTGTTCTGGGGATTGTGGTCATTTTTATCTCTGTCTCTTATGTCTTTCAATATTCTTTCTAGGGTTGCTTTGGTAGACATGAATTTCTTCAGTTGTTCTTTGTCATGGCAGTATCGTGTTTCTCCATTAAATCTGAATGAAAGTTTTTCTGGATACATCAGTCTAGGTTTAAAATTGTTTTCTTTCAGGGCTTGAAATACCTCACTCCAAGCCCGTCTTGACTTGAGAGTTCGTACTGAAAAATCTGCTGTGATTCTAATGGGCTTTTCTTGAGACGTGAGTTGTGTCTTTTCTCTAACAGCTTTTAGTATTCTGTTTTTATGCTATATGTCTGAGATCTTTATTATTATATGTCTGGGTACAGATTTATGTTGGTTGTGATTGTTGGGCATTCTATATGCCTCACTTTTCTGCATATCAGATTTTTCCCCATGTTTGGAAAATTTTCTGCTATTACTTATATGAGTATTTTAGTTATGTCATTTGCATTGACTCCTGCATCTTCATTGATGCCTATTAATCTTATATTGTTGCTCTTGACATCATCTTGAAGCTGCTGGATTGCCATTTCATGCTGCTTTGTTATTTTTAAAAGTTCTATCCTTTGATGATTGCTAATTGCGATCCTGTCCTTAAGGTCCAAAATCCTATCCTCAACTTCATTTAAACAGTTTTGCCAGCTTTGAATAGAAATTTTGTTTCTTGGATGTCTCTCTTGAGTTTGTGTCATGAATTATGCTTATTTTCTATATTGTTCATTTAAGGTTTCAATCAGTTTCCCATGCTCCTGTACTTTTTTCTCTATTTCTTTTTTAGCTGTGCTCAGCAACTCCTTTACTAAGGTTGTTATTTCTATCTTTCCATGGGAGAGCACTTCTAATTTGATTTGCTCTGCAGCCTTGTGGAATTGTTTTTTCATTTCACTCGCTATCTTTTCAGAGATTTCTGGTGTGTTACTTTTGAAGTCCTTTATTTCAGTGTCTCCTGTACTTGTTCCTGGTGGACTAGACATTTGAGATTGCATTTTGCTCTTTTGTTTTACCATTTTCACCTTTCAAGTTAGTATTTGGTCCTTCAATCCCACTAGTGTCAACTGTTGGTAGTGTGTGTCTTGGGGTCCTAATGTGAGGGTTGATGTTTGTCTAATTGCTGGGTCCCTCAATGAATAGGTGGGCCAACCACCTGACTTCCCCCTGCAGGGCCTGTTGGGTGAGTCCTATGTTCTTCTTGGGCTGACAAACCTAGTAGTATTGATGTAGGTCAACTTTTCGTTTCCAGGACACCAAATCTCCCTGTCTATAGTGTTTGTGTCAGCTGAGTCCCTACTGTGTCCCTGTTGTGTTCCTGTGTATCTCATAAGCCCTTTAATTTTCTCCAAGTTGGGGAAGTTCCTTATTGGCACACTCCTCACCCTGCCTGATGTTTTCTGTGTGCAGGAAGGGGTCACCCATACTATTGTCAGACACTCCAAGGTCTTATAGTTAGTTGGAGGGAGCCTTATTACTGGCCCTATTTACCCACTGTACACCTCTATTTTAGTGGCATACTCAACCACACTGACTGGATCCTGCTGAGATCTATTTGGGTGAGGCAGTTACTGAATCTCCCTTCAGGGTAGCACAGTTAATCCACTGTTGTCCAAGGTTCTGGGAGAAAGGTTGGAACTGAAGATCAACAGCAGTATTAGGTCCAGGAGGTAGGGAGTATCCCTGAGGTACCAGTAGATGTCTTGGGTCCAGATGTCTGCTGGGCACAGCCGAAGGTTCCAGGGTGGCCTGGTGTTCCTCACTGGTGGCTGGAGTTGCACAGGAAGTGCACAGCTGTGCAGGCCAAAGTCTGAGGGCAGCAGGCATTCCCCAAGGCCGGCACAAGTTGCACAAGGAGTGCATGGTGGCCCGATCCAAGGTCCCAGGGTGGCATGGTGTTCCTCACTAGTGGCTGGAGTCCTCAGGAAGCATGCGGCTATGTGGGTCAAGGTCTAAGGGGCAGTGTGCATTCCCCAGGACCAGCGCCAGTCATGCAGGGAGTACAGCAAATCTTATTATCTGTGCCTTTTATTCTTTCCATCCACATTTATGTTGATGTTTTTTATAATTAGGGTTCTTATATTGGGTAATTTATATTCATATTTTTAGAAAATTTTGCCAAAACTTTCAGGAATTATAGATTGGGTTGCATTTTTTAAGTGTTAGATTAATATTTCTCTTGTCACCAAATGTTATAATTGATTAAAATTAAAATGAGAGGACTGAGTGTGAATATTTTAGAAGACTACTCTTTAGATCATTTTATAAAACATTGATAATGGAATGGAAGCGAGTTATTTAGGACTATATAACCCATGATGATGTTTACATATGAAGCCAAAGGGCTTGGTTTTTTGTATTCAGAGTTTTATCACCAGCACTTATCATAATGCTTTGCTCAGTAATTAATTGAGAAAGGAAAAAAACTACTTGTGCATAGAGTGCATAAAGTGATCTTGTAGCTTTTTATTTCTTCATGCAAACATAAAATTCCAACATATATTGATACATTCTTTTGTATAGTTGGTGGCTAAAGGAGTAAAGATTTCTGATGTTTCTCCACCTTTGGGACACTATGAAACAGGTGGCTCTCCATCAAAGCAACAGATGAGATCTGTTATTTCTGTAACGTCAGCTTTGAAAGAAGTTGGTATGGTAAGTGTTCTAACATTTAGAAGTCTCCAAAGTTAAAAGTTATTTTAAAATAAATTTAACAAATTGTATTAATTTCTAATGTTACCTTTGGTAGTACCTGGAGAAAGAATTACTTCTTAACATTTATTCAATTTCCTCAGAATCTGAGCCTTTCTACTCAAATTTTATGTCCAAGATTATATGGGAAATATTTATATAATCAGCCCTCTGTTTCTGAGAATTCCACATCTGCAATGTCAAAAATATTTGAAAAAAAGTAATATTGTTACTGGTATGCACTATGTTCTTGGGCCTACCATGATCACGTCTGTACTGAACATAGACTTTTATTCTTGTCATTATTCCCCCAACAGTATATATAATGCCTATTTACATTTTCCTAAATGTTATAAGTAATATAGGGATTACTTACAGTCAGTATATAGATTCTTTGCAAATAATATGCCATTTTCTATAAGATGAACATCTGTACATTTTGGTCTTTGCAAGAGTGAGGATGTTTTGGAACTCATCCTTTGAGATACTTAAAGAGGATTGTGTATTAAAATGATTCTTTTCTACATTAAAAGAATATTAAATGAATAAAATATATACAGTAATGTACTGAAAGTAAAGAAGCAAACATTTTTATATTACAACCCTCATCATTAATAAATCTTTACATTTAAAAATATTTCTTGCCAGGCCTATTGGCACACATCTGTAATCCCAGCAGCAGGAGACTAAGACAGGAACATTGCACGTTCAAGTCCGGCCTGAGCAACTTAGTGAGATCCTGACTCAGAGTAAAAAATAAAAGGGCTAGAGATGTAGTTCAGTGTGCCGGCCCTGGGTTCAGTCCCTAGTGCCCTCCCCTAGTTCTTTGTTACTGAAATAAACTAACTCTTGGACTTGAGTCCACATGTTTACATTTTCTTGAAATTTTGTGACGCAGTAAATGGTAGCGGATTCAGCAGAATTGCACTTAATTCATCAATTACTGCCTTCTACTTTTAAATCTCTATATGCCATAGAGGTTGTAAAATAGAGAAACATAGACAAGTAAAAAGTTTAAACTTAGAAGTATCTTGCCAGGTTTCTAAAGTAAAGATACTGGTAAGAGTTCTGGGATTCACACAAATGGGCTTCTGATGTAAAATTTCTACTTATATTTCAAAAGAAATAAAGGAAAATAGTGTATAGAATCATATAATATATTAACTCCTTTTTCTCCTTTCCTGTTGATCATGTTAATCCCTTTTATTTGTTTAATTTCTTTAAGTTTTTATAGACTACAGAATTTATTGGTTGGTGCACTAATCTTTACAGCCTTTGTATTTATCTTGAGAATAAGACCTAGTAGGAAAATCTGTTTCTCGATTACACTCCAGAACTTCATATAACAAACTATTGTTCTTCAAGTAGGTTTTGTCTGTATTTCTTTCTCATAACGACTCTGCACGTGCTGCATTGTTCACTTCAACTTTAGATACCACTGTATGGTTTCCTTCCTGGTACCCAGTCTTACATCTCAAGTAGCTGTTCATCCCTCTGGTTGTAGCGACTGGTAATTCCTGACCACTTTACTGGGTAAAATGTTCCTTGTCTCATTTACATGTATTATTTTAAAATTGACCATTATAGCTGTTTTCAAATATTAAAAACTTGAGGTAATCTGTATAACTAAATTTTTTCTTACTGTGTTATATTGATAAACATTGCTTATTTACAGCTTTGAAAGTTAGTTACTGTAAGTCTTGAGGATACCTTTGGTTTTCATAACAACTAATTTCTCCTTTTCAAATATTTTAAAATTCTAGGTGGTCTAGATTGCTTCTACACTAATCAGAAAACAAAATATGTATTGGTAATGACACAGAACTCACTGTTATCATCTTAGAGAAGAAGCCAGTCCTCAATTGTGTTTGATGCTTTGGTTGAAATGTTTCATTCTGGGCTGGGGGTTTAGTTCAGTGGTGCAAGTGCCTGCTCGGTGAACACGAGGTCATGAGTTCAATCCCCAGCACCAAAAAAAAAAAAAAAAAGATTAATTCTACAGCTTTAATAAGACATGAAAAAAATATATATATAAACATAAACACAGTTTCAGAGTAACACAGCCTGTCTTGAATTAGGTTTTTTGTTTTTTTCCCATTGACTTTATCTTATCAAAAATTAAATGCCAAAGAAGAGGAGGATATAGTTAAACATGTGAGCAGGATTTCAAATATATGAAAAATAATTGAGAATTGGCCCTTCTGTATATTGTCTATTAATTGATAATATTTAAATATTTATCATTACTAGCAATAAAGGAAGCTGTATTAACAATTTACAGGGATAAAAAAGTTCACAGCAAACAGTTTGATGTACAAACAAATGTAGCAAAACTACTAGCTTTTTTTTTTTTAAGGTAAACTTCCAGTATATGTTCTGTCAAAGCAATGACAAAGGTAGACTTTTTAAATAACATTGTTTCTTACTCTGTAACTATCTGTGCTTTAGGACAAAAGTTTAATTGATTCCCAGGAAACTTCAGAAGAAATGCAGAAAACCAACAGTGCTATTTCAGTAAGTGCAGCTTTCAAAGCTTCTCTGTCAGTCATTTAACTTAATCATGTAGATACTAAAATATAGCATAATTGTTTCAGAGTAAGCGAGAAATACTACGTAGGTTAAATGAAAACCTTAAAGCTCAAGAAGATGACAAAGGAACGCAGCATCACTTGGATACTTGTGAAATGATTATTCCTAAAGACACCAAAGATAATGAAAAGGAAAAATCAATTCCATCTGATAGAAAGAAGTGGGAGATAGGAGGTCAACTTGTGATTCCCCTGGATGAGTTAGCACTGGATACGTCGTTCTCAGCAACTGAAAGTATGTATAAACATGTTAAAGTGGTATTTTAACCTACTTGTAAATTGTAGACTGGCCATTTGAAGGAACTGACACATGGCTTAAGAGAACCAGGAAGAATTTAATTTTGGTTTTTCTTTCTACTAGTAGAAAAGTACTACCCTTTCCTAGAAAAATGTGAAAAATGTACAAAGTGATTCAGTCTGAAGAATAGCAAAGATTTTATGCAGAATTGTACAGTGTAAGAGAGGAAATTAATGTTACATATTTAAATTGTGCTAAATATATTAACTAATTGTTTTACTTTAACTTTTATGCATTTTATATTAGTCTGTTACTAGGAATAACTCTTATTTTATTTTTTATACTAGAGTGTGAACCCTGTGCCTCACATGTGCTCGGTAGCTGCTCTACCACTGAGCCAGACACCCACTTCACTTGCTTATATTTGTTTTTTATTCATTCATTCATTTAATTTATTGAGACAATTCTCACTAAATTGCCCACCCTGGCCTTGTGTTTCTGATCTTCCTGTTTCAGCTTCCCGAGAAGCTAGGATTACAAGCATGTTACCTCCTTGCATAGTGAGAAATGATTCTTAAGAACCAGAGAATGAACTTTAATAGAATCTGAGCAAGGTCCCTTAAGCACATAGCTAGGATATTGAAAACATCTAACTTAATGATTCATTTATCTAGCAATAGCTCCTGAGTACCCATTACTTACTTACATTGTCCTATGCACCAGGGATACAGCAATCAGTAAAACAGAAACTTATGTGGTCTTGTAGAGCTAAAATAAAGGCAAGTCTGACTGTGAGCAGGTTTAATTTTAAGTAATTTTTGTTGAATTTTATCTTGCACTCAAGAAAAGCCTAAGACTTGATAATATTTATTTTGCTTAATGATTATTATCTATTGTATGCCACCTGTTTTTAAGCAGTATCATGATAATCGTTAAGACATAACGATTTTTTTTTATTTTAGAGGGAGTAATACAGAACAGTAAAATGAAACAAAAGTCATAGGATAGTAAGAAATTCACAATCATTACTATATTACATGTTGTTGTACTCTAAATAGTTACCCAGACTGCTGGCCCTAGGCCTGCAAAAGTCAATCGGACAACATAAATGTCAGGTTACTTCTCTATTTCAGTTACTTTGGAATTACCATCTCAGCCTGTGCCGTGTCTGGTTGCTTACCAGTGGGGGTGGGGAAGGACACAGGCGGCTTCTTCACTATTTCTCCCTGGCCAACGGGGCCTCTTCCAGCATACGAGGAGGCTGCTCGGCTTCCTTCCTGCTTCTCCCCAGCCAGCAGGGCCCTTACCAGCACCCAGGGAGGCTGCACGGCTTCCTTCCTGCTTCTCCCCAGCCAGCAGGGCCCTTACCAGCACCCAGGGAGGCTGCACGGCTTCCTTGCTTCCTTCCCAGCTGACAGAGACCTCCCCTGAAGGAGGGTAGAATCTAGTGGAAAAGGTAGCAAGTAAAGCAGCTATTGTCGTCTCTTGGATAAAATACCGGCCACCCACAGTTTAAAGGAGAAGCTAGGAATACTGGCTACTTCACCACTGCTTTAGCTCATGGTTCAGTCCATAGTAAGCCAGCTCCAAGGTAGAAAAAGCATGGTGGGAGGAGTCTCGGAGAAAAACAGATCATGTTAAGGCAACTAGGAAACAGAGAGGGAAGAGAAGAACAGTGCAAAGGTGATGCACCCTTCCAGGTCCCTGCCTCCTAAAAGCAGTCAGCTGTGCCACCCCCATGATCCAGTCACTATACAAAAGTCGTGAGTGTTTGGAGTCTTTGAGGGACATTCTTGATCTAAACCATAGTAAATACATGCAAGGGTATAAATCAGTCTTGGGAAGCCAAGGAAATGATTTCTGGAAAATGTGATGTGCAGAGGGAAAGAAGTAGTGAGCTAATCCAAAGACAAGCAGAAAATCACCAAGACACAGGACTATGGCAAACACATGAAGGTCAGGGTGCTGGATACCGCTCAGCATGGATGGCCGATGTTCAGAACACCTGACAAAGACTGGCAACCATGAAGCCTTGGAAAGGCTAAGCAGAGCCAGTCATAAAGGCACCTGTATGTTGAGTCTAATGAACAGTGCAGGAGTATCTGAGTGTATGGGGAGACTTTGAAACAAAGGTCAGCAAATGTTTTCTCTAAATGATAGCATGGTAATTATTTTAGGCTTTGCAAGCCTTCAGGTATGTGTTACAACTTCTCAAGTCTAACAACTATAGAACAAAGCAGCAGTAAGCATAGCCACAGTTTTATTTTCAATAAAAATTTATTTATGAGCTGGGCATGGTAGTACATGTTATCCCAGCACACGGGGAGGCTGAGGCTGGAAAGATCACCAGTTTGAGCCCAACAGGGACACTGTAACCCTATAATGCCTTCTTGGTTCGTGATTTCAGTGTCAGTTCATTTTTCAAAGCTTGTTAGTCTGTTTGGATGTACTTGGTATGTCACCCTGACTGATCGAAGATCTGGCGAGTAGTCTGTTAGTTCAGTTTCCGGAGCCTTTGATACGCTGAATAGATACATGGATGCATGTTTGGAGGGTATGCAGAAGAAATCGTAAACAGCCTTATGGACTCACTTTCTTGGATGTTGGTTTCTCCTCTATCTCCTGATATTCTCCAGCTCCCTGGGACTCCTCTCTTTCATCATCTGATCAAAAAACTGAGACTTAAGTTATTTGTCTCTGCTTGTATTCTTGGACCTGTGTGGCCGGAAGTTAACAGCAACAAGGTTGGCCCTGCCCTTTTGGTACTATGACTCCACCTAGCAGAAAAGAGGTTTTTTTTTTTTAACCTGTTTTTCTCTCGTGTGGGTTCCCATTTTCACCTGTTCCTCTCACCATCATGGGATTGTATAGGACCAAGGAAAAAATAAAGAGATTAAAGAAAAATATTGGGAGATTTTGCTTTCTGTCTGAGCCTTAGGCTTTCCATTCCCTATTGCTCAGGCTGGAACAAGAGAGCTGCTCCTCGATCTCTCTGTGTTTGCTTCTGGAGTTTGCTATTTGAATCCTGAAACCCAGGAACACTGGCTACATCACTTTGCTGTATTTCAGTTTCTGTCTTCTTCCCCAGTGCAGCACCTTTGTGCTTTTCAGAGTTTTAAAATAGCTACTTTATACATTTTGTCCTGTTTTTTGTTCGTTTAAATTTGGAGGGGTTTGGTGGGGGGGTCTGGTGGTTTGTTACTAGTTGTTTGTTTGTTTTTTCCAGTACTGGGAATTGAACTCAGGGCTTTTCCACTGAGCTACATCCCCTGCTCTGCATGTCTGTCCATCCATTTTTCCTTCTTTCTTTCCTTCCTTCCCTCTCCCTTTCCTCCTTCTCTTTTTCTTTCTCACATTTTTCTCTCCTCTTGTCTTTCTTTCTTTCTTTCTTTTCTTTTTCTGTCTGTCTTTCTTTCTTTCTATGTGTGTGTGTGTGTGTGTGTGTGTGTGTGTGTGTGTGTGTGTGTGTATGTGTTCTCCTAAACCAAGCACTTTTCTTTCTTTAGAGAAAGAATCTCACCAAGTTACCCGGGGCAGACTCATACTTGGGATCTTCCTCTCTCAGCTTCCCATAGTGTTGGAATCACAGATATACACCACTGCACTTGGCATATCCTGGTCTTTGTAGCTATATTTAATGGGAAAAACAGTTCAATGTGTGCTTATTTCCTCTTGGTAGCAGCAGAGCTGTCTTTTAAAGACATGTAAATTTTTAAATGTCTTTTTGTCTTTTATCCATTCAGTTACCATTTCTAATACTCTTAATTTCTTTGTTTAGACATGTATTTCCATGTTACTGACATGTAATGTTACCTTGATAAGAATTATTTTTTTATTTTTAAAGAGGGTAAAATTAAACAGAACAAAACAGAACAAAATACATCATAAGATAACAATGTAAGAGACACAGATTTCAAAACAAGACACTGGAGATCTTCACTGTCTTATCATATTGTCTCTTGTTTTCTTCCAAATCATTGTCCAAATCTTCACATACAATGAATTCATACAAAACAAAATAGTATACAACTGATCAGAACAGCATGATGAAGGCATTTTAGGTCTTCAAGACCAGACAATAAGGAAGTCAACAATCACTGCCATAATGTCTCTCATTCTCTTCAAAATAGCTGTCCATATGTTCATGTATGTTGAAATTTAAAAAAAAAAAAGACTAAAATCACTCTGAACAAAGAGTAATAGTATTGTTGGATTTCACATCACGACAAGTTTAGTACATGGTGATAGGCATGAGTCTAGTTTTAGTTTTCAGCATATGGAGAGCCAATTTTTCCAGCACCATTTATTGAAGAGACTATCTTTCTTCCAGTGGACCTGTTTGGCCCTTCATCAAAGAAAAGGTGGCTCAATGTGTTTGTAGTTGTAGTTGTATCTTCTAATCTATTCTATTGATCTTCAGGTATGTTTTTATTCCAGTACCATGCTGATTTTATTACAGTAGCTTTGTAGTATAACTTCAAGTCAGGGATTGTGATTCCTCCTGCCTTTACTTTGTTACTTAGAATTCCCTTTGCTATGCTAGTTCTCTTCTGGTTCCAGATGAATTTCAGTAGTGATTTCTCTATATCTGTGAGGTATGCTAGTGGCATTTTGATTGGAATTGCATTAAATCTGTATAACAATTTTGGTAGAATGGCCATTTTCTTTTTTTTTTAATTTTGTTTAAAGAAAAAAAAACAAACAGTAAAAGGGTACAAGTAATACAGAATTTTAAAAAAATAAACAGTAAGAAATCACTAATTAATAGATTACATATTGTCATCTTAGAAATAGTTGTTCAAGTTACAACTATTATAGTTAAAGCATACAAAGTGGACATTCAAACAGTTATGTTCAATGATCCAACAAAAATGGATCCAACAAATTAGTAATATGGTCATCTATCTTACAAGAATGGCCATTTTCACAATGTTTATTCTTCTTATCCATGAACAAGGGATGTGTTTCCATTTTCTGAGGTCCTCTTTGATTTCTTT